GAGTGGTCGACAGACCAGTCCATGAGCTTCAATGGTCCCAAGCTCACTACACTTCCGCAACATCATTGACTACAAGCTGACCTCGCAAGATAAGATGACGGCAAGAAATCACCGCAATAAATGGTGAAGTCAACTTTTGGGACAGTATGAAGGGAGCCGATTGTTCATGTGTTATGGATGTTTATTTTGGCTGAGAAGTTGTTTTTGGTCCTTTTGATGGCCGCAGTGGCTTGAACGGACTTTCGCGGGATCCAGTTGTTCCAATGTAGAGGGTTCTGGTCAGAAAGAAATTCATTCTTACACAAATACTTACGATGGAAAGATAGAACACAACACTCTTACCGTCAGCATCGTTAACGTACTGAGCAAGATGTGATCATGCTTTATCTACTTTTCTGCTGAAGACCAGGACAATACACCCATAACAGGAATTAGAAGTAATTACCAACTAAGTTATGCTCACTGATGGTCCGCTTTCGCCTTCATTCTTCCTCTGCAAGCTTAATGAAATAAAATAGACTAATGTATAAAAGCGATTTAGTTATTGGTTACTGGTTAAATAACATATCCACTTGCATATCCTAATGTTTAGAGTTCTATTGTTTCTGTCTTTCTAGGACCAGTGACTTCCGCCAAATAGTAGGCTCTTTTGGATGGGAACAGTGGCGAGTATGGGTGCATTTATAGCGCGAAGGAGAACAAACAAGAAAAAACAAACCCCTGAGGACGTCACAAAGTGCGCCCTGGTAAGTACTGTGTCCATCTGTTTGTATTTGATCACAAGCCCACCATCTTCCTTCCCGCATACTCACAATTCGGTCTGTTTGATCCTCGTTACAGCATACGAAGAGCAGCATTTTTTTGCCAGTTACTGATGAGTAAGTAGTGAGGATTTTTGGTATAATTCAGCTAATTCAGCCATCGTCACTCCCAATCAGGCAGGCTTGGATTAGTCTAGAAAATGCAGCAGATGCCGGCGTTGCGACCTCCTGGGTCTCGTCTGGGTGCGCCTCCCGGCGGACCCCTGCCGGCTTCCGCCCTCATGATTTCAGGATTGCCACTAAGCTAGTGCCACTTCGCCATGTGTGATAGCCGCCTATGTACATAGGCGCTATCTGGAAAATCCTAGTTGGTCAGGCTAGCAATTGTCCTTTGCAAAGGTCGTAACTGGTATGAAGTGGAAGATGAGCCGGGCTATATCATGTGTCAACTGTCCAATCACCGCAAGTCCGCTTCTGTCACCCATGGCAAAGTGGCTGGGAGGCGCACCACTGACGAGACCCAGAAGGGTGAAAAAGCCGGCGTCTGGTGCTTTTCCAGACTAGCCTAAGCCTGATGATTGGGAGTGACGATGAATGAATTAGCTGACAATTTTGCAGCGCTTTTGTATTTCGCTTTGTGTTTTCATGTTCAGCCATCTTGAAATACGTTTGTTTGTAAGACCAAGAACATTGACAAATTGTCTTTGGAAGCGAAGTATTTATAGGTAATAATATGGGAGGACATGGGTTCTAAGTTGGCGGAAAATTGGTGGAAATGTGCCACTTACTGGTACAAGGGAATCATGATATGATACGGATACAATGCCAAGGCTTGGCAGGTCCTAGTGCGATGATTTGTGTGGAATTACGCAAGTTTCAAATAAGAAGTTACACCAATGTGAAACGTTTATCTTTGCATGTTCCCGTTTGGTACCAATGTTAGCGCACTTGTGTATCCGTCTACCCGGTTTCGTGGAGGGATGGTTAGCGCAATGTTTGTCTACGTCTTATCGTCACTCACTGACAGAATTCAGGATCAACTAATGCAGACGCTGTAAAGTATCGTCGAGTGGTCTTTTAAACGGGTAGCCTTGGACACAGGAATGGCAAAGGTCGAAGAGCTTCCAAGGCTGACAACTTCTAGGGGAAAATCGTTTCGGTAGCATTCCACTGGAGGGTATTGGGTAGACAGTTTGTCGCTGGTGACCCCTCTAGATTTGTGTTAGGGCTACACTTCAAGAAGGGGTGGTAAAACGTGACTGGTGTAATTTCAAGATCTGGAACACCACAATGAGGTCATCCCGTAGACGGCGATAACATCTACTGTACAATCCCAAGGGCTTCATTCACAGTTAGTTGGTAGGTATAAAACAATCCCTGTTACGTTTTTTGGTCTGCCTTTCGCTGTGGGGTCTCTAATGTTAACCGAAGCGGAGTTTTAACAAGATTTGCCAGGTCCGAATCGCTGGCCTCATGTACGCATTGAGCATTTGGGGGAAGATGGAGGGTCGAACCGGCAGAGCGCCCAGCTTAAGAAACCAACGTGTGAATTCGCGGTTTTGGATGCCTTCAAAGCCTGCAACGAACCTACCGGGATCGTCTTGCATCAAGACCCGAACAATGGAACAATGATTTATGCTGGGTTAAAAAGCATTTGCGTGACACGTGCCGCAGGACAATAGGGTAAAACATACAATATCAAAAGATTCATGAGTTGATGTGTTAACCGCTTGTCAAGTAGATGCGCCACTGAATAATAGTAGTGGGAATTGAGTGTGCGAAACGACGAGGAAACATGGGGGCAGTTGGTAGTTGATGTACGCCATGAGAAAATTAAAACAAGAATACTCACTTCTGTACCGCCTCCCTCCGGTTGTAGGTGAAATATTAATCCGGCTTAAAGGGATAATTAATATATTCCGAAGTAGCACAGTTTAGGACAACGAAGTTATGGGGTTACAAAGGGCAAGAGACAATGATTTTTTTGAAAATTTCCAAGCTGGGGTGAAAATAACTAATTTTGTTAGAGAGTTCCAGGGTTGACAAACTTGAAGAGAAAATAATTCAGCCGGTATTCCAGACGATTAAACTGTGCACACAATTTCATAGGGTTACCTCTGAGATTTGTGTTATGTCTGTTTCAGCAAGTGACGGCATTCGTGACTGGGGTCACGCAATATTTGGTAGACTAAAATTAGATCTTCGCGCAAACTTTGGCAGAGGTCATTGAAAACTCCCAGTGAGTTCAGCCTTTGATGGTAGGACAAATTTTGTAGACCCTTGAGGTTCTTTGTGGTCGTGGCTTGTGGCTTCTCTAGCACTTTTAAGTCGCGCTTCAACTAAGGTTACCAAGCTTGGTTGGCGTATTCAACATGAGGGCACACCTGAGATTTGTGCATCATGGGGAACATGGATAGGTCGAATCTTCCGAATGCTCTCCGCAGCAAGCCAAAGTGCTGGTTGGCTCGCTTCGCAGCTGCCTGTCATGGCTTTGAACAGCTAAAATCACTTTGAATAAGCACACCAAGGTCGCCTTCTTGGGAAGTTGTTTGCAATACATATGAGCCAAGCCTATATACCTAGTCATGCCT